CTTCCCTGGTGGTACAGTGGTTAAGAATCCACCTGCCAATGCAGGGTACACGGGTTCAATCCCTGATCCAGGAATATCCCACATGTCGCAGAGCAGCTAAGCCCACAGGCCACAACTACTGAGCCCGCATGCTGCAACTACTGAAGCCCACACACGCAGAGCCTGTGCTCCACAAGAGAAACCACCACGATGAAAAGCCCGGGCACCGGAACAAAGAGTAGCCCCTGCTCACCACAACTAGACAAAGCCCACGTGCAGCAACAAAGACGCAATGCAGCCAAAAAATAAAGAAATATGAATATACACAAAGGAATGAAAAGCACCATAAATTGTAAATCTGTGGGGAAACAGAAGAGACTTTTTTCTTCTTCTTTAAAATCTCTTTAAAATTGACTGTTTAAAGAAAAAAAAATTACACCATATTATGGACATTTTGACATGCTTTAAGTAAAATGCATGACAAAAACAGCACAAACCTGAGAGTGGGAAAATGAAAGAATATTATTGCAAAGTTCTTACACTATACATGAAATGGTATACTAACTTACACGTACACTGTGATAAATGAAAATACACACATAGAGTAAACCCTAAAGCCACTCAAAAATTAAAGAATTATAGCTAATAAGCCAACAGAGATGATGAAATGGAATAATCAGTACTGAGTCCAAAAGAAGGCAGGTCAAGAGGAAAATACAAAGAAATACAGAGGAGATAAATGGAGGATAAACAGCAAGATGACAGATTTAAACCCAATGAAATCCATAACCACATTCAATGTAACTGGTCTAAACACTCCAACTAAAGCGGAGGTCGTCAGACTGGATTTTTAAAAAGCAACAAACTACATGAGGCCCACAAGAAGTACCCTTTAAATATAACAACAGTGAAAGGATGAAGGAAGATAACACCATGCTAATGGCTTTTTTTTTTAATTTTTAAACTAGACTGCTAGCATTAATATAAGAAAAATATTTCAAAGCAAAGAATATTACCAGGAATATAAAGAGTAATATTAATAATGATAAAAAGGTCAATATGAGAACATAACAACCCCATCTATGAGCCTAATAACAGCTTCAAAATACATATGAGCCAGATAGAACTGAAATGAGAAATAAATCCACAATCTAGTTGGGGATTCCAAGACCTCTTACTAATTAATTGACAGATAATGAGTGATGACAGGCAATGGCAGACAGAAAATCAGTAAGAATATAGAAGACTTGGGCTTCCCTGGTGGCGCAGTGGTTGAGAGTCCGCCTGCCGATGCAGGGGACACGGGTTCGTGCCCCCGTCCGGGAAGATCCCACATGCCGCGGAGCGGCTGGGTCCGTGAGCCATGGCCGCTGAGCCTGCGCATCCGGAGCCTGTGCTCCGCAACGGGAGAGGCC